AATAGGCGTATCGTTTCCCACACGCGCTGTACGCCGTAGACCAATCACAACAGACTCGGCCATCTGACCAATCAGAGCAGAGCAGGCTCACGGAAAAGAGGGGTTTTGAGAGACTAAATCTTTGAACTGCTTCGAACGAATCGTTTGAGAATCGCTGGAAAATTAGGTGATATTAAATGCATATTTTGAGAAAACGAAAGCGTTTTTTTGACCTTGCATGCATGTAATCCTATTGTAGGAGACTCCCAAAACAATATTAGGAACCGTAAAAATGGCATAATAGGGGCACTTTAACTCATCCCCACACTTTGGCAGAGAACATGATTCTATGAGTTGATCCATCTCAAATCATGCCACAACAATCCATTGTTGCTTTCTGTCTAATAGGTCTTGACTTCTGAGGTAGGTGACTGGCGTAAGAATGTGGAAGCCATGTCTGGAATGGAGGGAAGAAAGAAGTCTGACCAATCAGAGCAGAGCAGGCTCACGGAAAGGAGGGGTTTAGAGAGACTGAAACTTTGAACTGCTTCGAACGAATCGTTTGAGAATCGCTGGAAAATTAGGTGATATTAAATGCATATTTTGAGAAAACGAAAGCGTTTTTTGACCTTTCCTGCATGTAATCCTATTGTAGGAGACTCCCAAAACAATGTTAGGAACCGTAAAAATGGCATAATAGGGGCACTTTAAAAATATTTGTCACTAGTTATGCCATCTTTTCTCCAATATCATATTTTTATATTTTTTTGAGCATTATAAATGAGTGTGTGTTTATGGTCAGTGAAATAATGATAAATGACAGAAGAATCTAATGACAGAAAAATATCCGGTTTAGTAGTACAAAGGATTTAGTGTATATTTAACTGGATATTATGGTGGTAATAGCTGGAAAAACAAAATTATTATTCGGATGGCATAAAATTTGTGCAATATATAATATAGATTTTAAATCATTTCATTTTATTTAATAAAATAAAATCTTATATGATCTAATTCGGTATTATATATGGGACTTCTTGAATATTTGCAATCTATTTTATGACTAAAAAGCCAACATACAAATACAGCCTGACTCTCCTCCCTAATAAAGTCTTTTCTGTTTAACATTTTCAGCACTCCTCTGCAGGCCATTCATAATAGTTTGGAGAAGGGATATTATATTTAACAAAAACTAAAACCATAAAAAAGCTTTGTTACTTCAGATAAAATAAACTCAAATTAAATCTTAATTAAATGAAATTCAAATATGAATTAATAGTATAGATACTTAAAAAGCACTGGTTCAGAGTGGATTTTTTTTTTTTTGAAAGATCATAGAAAAGATGCAAGAAGAAAAAGAAGATTCATTAATCAATGAATACAATAATCCAATCTAAAAGAACCTTGAATGGGATGCCTGACAGCGAGTGCCGTCTCTCATCCTGCTGAGAGCAGCCACATGACAAAGACACAGTATGTATGACATCACACCTCCAGGGCAACTTCCTGCCGCTGCTTAGCCAGACTGTCTGATGGGGCGGTTCACACTTTAACACTTTTGTTTGTGTCCTGACTCAGAAGAGGAGCGGGGGTTTTCAGCAGCCTCATAACTCTCTTCTGACAGTGAGGAGAGAATGATAATGAAGCAAATTCAGTGATATATCAAAGCAGCGGTTGAATTTTGTCAAAATTGTATTTATCTGTCAATCATATTTTATTCCAGCCCACTGTGACTTGTATTTGAGGGCGTCCTGTCAATCATTTTTGTCAGAATGATTTATCTCCCTTCCTTACATATGGCATATGTTTGTTCTTGCATCTTCTGCATTCTTCTGAGTTTCATCTTATTCTACAGCCTCTCTATATTCCAGAATGGCTGTCAAATCTGTTTTTGGTGTTTATTTTTAACAATATTTTGTTCAACTGTTTCATAGCATGGTTGGTTTCATAAAATTATGTGTCTATCAGAAACCAGATTTTTCAGTCTCCTGCAGAACATTGACAGTCTGAACCAGTTGATTATGTTTTTACTGTTTCTATATGTTTTCTTACATTAATAAATCTCAGATCAGCCATTACACTGCTAGAGGAACGCTGACAGACGTTTTAGCCGCATGCACAGAGAAAAAAACTGAAGCCTGTGCAAAGAGAACATGCATGGAATATAGAGAATAAAGAAAAATATAAAAATTTCCATCACGTGTTAACAGTTTTTAATAAGATTTCTTATATTAAGATGTTTGCTTATTGCCTTGACTTCTGTCGAGACCGATAGGCCTATGAATATGCAATTTCCTGATCAATTCTCTACTGGAAATGATTATACGCAATTTCGGGATATATTTTCTATTGGAAATGGTGATCATGAATCAAGTAAAATAAATATTGATTTTGGTGATCTCATCATTAAAGGATTGCAGGTGGAAGAAAGCCGAAAAGTCAAAAAGCAAGCGAAAGTGGAGCGGCGGCGCCAGACAAAGAAGAGACCTGGAATATCAGCAGAACATGAATTTTGAGATGAGAACTGTAATAAAGTTGATGCGAAAACAGGAAACTTTGAATAAGAAAATAATGATTTAGAATAATTGAAACTTAAAGCTTTGTTTGCATTGTCTTAATTTGATCCCATTGTTTTTTAATAGAATACTGTATGATTTGAACTATGTAATTATAAAAAATTTTAGTATGTATTTTTAATCACTTTTTATTTTAGGGTGACTTGTAACATCTTGTCCAGGGACTACGGATGTAAAATAGCCTTTGGCTAATTCTGGTACATTTACAGGAATGTTTTATTAATGTACAATGTCCCTGTCAACTAAATAAAGTAAATAAAGCTCCAGCTCTGAAACTATAGAAGTTTCAAATGCAAGTTTGATCACACATTCTGTTCCCGAAATCTATAAGTGTTGAAGGCTTGTGGCTTAAATTGCTTTATGCTTTGTTTTCTGAGACGATGGAAGGAAAGGGGCTGCATCTTACAATAGAATTGTGAGATGGAATCTCTATCTAGCCGTACTAATTTTATTGTATCTGTATATGAGTGTGACTTGTGTGGTTGAGACAATGTATACTTAGACTATGCTTTTAGAGGTGTTATAGATATTTTTGTGGGCTTAAATAGAGATGAGCATCTTCATGTTTTACTTAGAACCCCTGCAATTCTTCCATTTGAACTTTTGATACTCTGTGCTACTCTCCACTCTCCAGAGAGCGGCACACAGATTGTGAGTGATGCTGCGGAGCGGCGGGAAAACACGGAGCGGATTGGCGGAAGCCTCAGGAAGCCCGAACTCAGCTGAGCAGACTCGGACACCGTGGAGGATTCCAGATCTTTTGACCACATTTCCTGATCTCAGAGGTAAGGGCAACTGAATTGCAGCTTTTGATGAGAATTAGGGATGTGCATTAGATGTTTAATGGATTTCCCTCGGTATATAAACTCACTTCGTTTTAATTTTCCATATGACAGCAGGAGAGAAAGACATGGCAAAACTGATCATATGACAGGAGGCCTTTTAAAGGGGTCCTATTATGCTCTTTTACAAAGTCTTGATTATGAGTGGACTTTGAGATTTGTAACTTTCTAGATCTTTTTTATGCCCAAACATACACACTACACACTGACTAAAATTTTAAAAATGAAAAAGCATAATAGGACCCCTTTAAACACTTTTTTGAGCTGTGAAAAAAAAGACTGACAAATGCCATCAATTAATCAATCAGATTTTGACAGATAGTTTGACAGGGAGGAGAGAAGGATAGGGCCTAAAAAATCTAATTGTCATATGAATGCATAAATCCCCTCGTATTAATCATCTGTTGATGACAAAGTGTGTTTATCATAATAATATTTGTTAAATATGTTTATTTTACTGGTAGCATTTTTATTATTAAAACTCAAATTGCATCATACCCTGAAAAAAAAAACAGCTTAATTTGAGCGAATTACTCGGTTTAGTTGAACATTGCCAAGGGATTACACATAATTACATAAAATAATGTCCAATATTAGATAAATTAAACATAATTAACAAACACAAATTCGCGCACACTCATTCATGTCTTATAATAAATTTAAAAAAGGTCACAAATAAACAACTACAAAAAACAAACAAACAACTGGCAATACAATGAGATAAAGGCCAACAAAATCTAAAAGTAACACACACACACACACACAAAACAACTATGATTGCAAATTACATTACAGAGACAATACAATGAGAATAAAACAATCATAAACAAGGAAAGCATCTAAATGCATGGATTTTCTTTAAATAGGCCTACTTCTCTGTATTTCAGGTTTTTTATTATGTTTTTTATTATTATTCTTTATAAGGTAAAGAGATTTCAAAAGTGAGTTTAATTCAATTTTAAAAAGGGGAAAAGTTGGGATTTGCAAATTGTTGTTTGTTAATGAAAAATTAACCATACATTAAAAAATACTAGTATGCTCCAGGGGTTTATTTTTAATATTATTATTATAATAAAAAAATGTCTTTAAACTAAAGAAATGTACAACATTGACAAAATCAAATATATGAGAACCTAGATCCGACCAAAATTGCTCGGATATAAAGCAATCAAAAAAACAGATGTGTTAATTTCTCCTCTGCTTATTTACAAAAAGAACGTGAACAGGGGAAATTATTGTACGCTACTAATCGAAGCCAGATCCGTGACTACAGGTCATGGACTGTAAAAAAGGTCTATTTCCATAGCCTCCCGGCTTGCATCAAAGTCCCTAGTCTTTGCTTGCATTCAGGTCACACTATGTTGCCAGATCACACATAATTAAGCAAAAAACGGAATCATTTGGATCAATTGAGGAGTAACTGCACGCTAAGTACAAAATACACAAATTAAATAATTCTGATTTATTTTTTAAAGAATACAACGTTTTCCTTATAAATGTACAATAACACACACACACACACACACACACACACACACACACACAAATCGACATAAAAACAATGGACTTGGCAACATGGGCTATAACGGTCCCACCCCTCGCGCACATCAGAGGCCTCATAAGATTCCTTGTGTGGAGCCGAGTAGTAGTTAGAGAAAGCAGCTGAAAGAAATACATTAATCAAGACAGAGGAGCGATTCTTACACGAATGTTCAGTAAGTAGTTCAGTATTTCCTTGTAGTGAACGATTTGTGTTTCCGTTGCCGTCGTTTATAATTTGACCGTGTTGACATTGCAGACTGTGCATGACAAAAGATTTCTTGGGTTAACGTAGTGAGAGCGTTTTAGAGCTCCGTTTTTGGTTTGCGTAAAAACGATAACCTTTGTAAAGCCAAACAAAGGCAAATCTGTGCATTTAAAAGCATATATATATTTTTAAAATAAAATCGATTAAAGATGACATTCTTCATAACGCGAATTTAAAACAGACTATTTCCTGTACCTTCAGTTATTCCAGCGTGCTGATGTGACCGAATTAACGTAAATCTTACATTTTGATTCTTGAATTTTTCAGTTTTGGTGCATACGGTCACTCATAAAGCAATGTAACATGTAACCTTAATTCATATTTAGTAATTTATGACACCCATCTAACGTTAGTCAACGACAATAGACCGTTTTCGCCAAATAAAGTTAATTGCAGCTTTTTATCCCACAGATTCAATTCGGACTATTTTCTCGCAATTCTGAGGGAAAAAAGTCAGAATTTGCTTCTGTGTTAAGACTGTAAGAACTAACTTAGTCTGACCAGCTAGCAGTTAACCAATGATGGGTAATCAGTCTTATTATCCGGATTCAAGTGAGACCAATCTCCACTTGTATTTAACCCTCTGGGCCTCTTCGGTCATCTCTGACCGAAAAATTTTATATTTTGAAATTAAAAATCGTAGCTTCATCAGAATGAGATGACATTTGTTGCATTAGCTATGTGAACACACACAAAAAAATCATGGACATGATTCGGATATGTTAAAGGGTAAAAAGAAAAGTCAAAATTCAAAAATGAGCGGTTAAAAATGAGCGACATAGGAAATGAATGGGAAATACGAAAAAATCTTCTCTAAAATATCAATATCAAGAGTGCAAAATAGACACCCACGCACACACACAAAAATGAACTGTTAAGACTGCAACAGAGCAAATTTTGAGAATATGTGAAATAAAATGAATAAATTAAAAATAAAAAAGTCTCTCTCTCGCTCACTCACAAAATTGCAAACTTCCAGTGTGCAAGAGACACAAAAATGAACTGTTAAGACTGCAACAGAGCAAATTTTGAGAATATGTGAAATAAAATGAATAAATTAAAAATAAAAAAAGTCTCTCTCTCGCTCACTCACAAAATTGGAAACTTCCAGTGTGCAAGAGACTGAAATACTATCGGTTGCATGTGCAGCAATGCGTAAAATAATTACAGTTTGTATGTAAATAGTTACAATTATATTTATGGTTATTCAGATTTTCCCCCTCTTTTTCTTCAAATTACTGTTTGATAATTGTTTGTTCTTATTTTAGCCTAACAGGTGATACTGATATCTGAGTAACAAAAATGCTTCCCATGTGTTCCCTTTCTAACCAAATTAATATTTTATTGTAATCATAATGCAAAACCTGATATTTATCTAACCAAAATATCTAAACCTTGACAAAAAGTAGTCTTTTAGAATATCTATACATGTATATCTAAATGTAAAACCTAATCAAATGAAATTGTCTAAAAAACAATTGGAATCCAAAAGCCTCTGTGTATATGTGTATATGTATAGGGAGCTATACAGGATTACACACATTTTTATTTAAGTGCCACCAGATGGCACAATTCTCACTTCAAAAAATGGATTTTAAATGCTTTCATTCTGTTTTAATGTGAAATATTAAATATTATAATAACAAATAATTAAATAACAACAAATATTAATTCTAAAGGAAAAATAGCTTATTAAAATTGTATAAATATTGCATAGTATCATAAAATCCCCATAAAATTAGAAATAATCAGAAAATATTATTGAACAAAAATGTATTACATTGATTTTCCTGAAAAAAAAAGTTACATTTCAAGGCTTCGGTCACTTTTGACCGTGAAGGAGCCAAGTGTGGTTCCGGTTTTTGTTATTGGTTATGCCTATCTGGTTTGCCACAATTTATTACTAACTCCCTTGGACCATTTTTTAATGGTGGAATTTGGCCATCTGTTTGGCGGTGGTCACATGAGACATTCATCAAATGTGTTTACTTGTTCCTGTCAACTTCTGAGAATAACCCAGAGTTCATTGGGTTATTTAAGTTCACTTGGTACAATCTAATGGAAACCACCGGTACTGCCCAATGGAAGGGCCCTCATACATACAATCCTCATTAAGACATCCAGTATTGGGAATAATTCAACATATTGATTAGGATATTGATTACTTTCATAATCATACATAATATTTTAAGTAAGATGATACCATATTGAGTAATAGAATTACACAATATAAACAGTCGCGGATCAGGAGCGGACTGCAAACGCGTCCTGTGCGAAAGCAAAATGAGTCCGTGCTGCTTCTGCACCGCATACACATACTGTATACGCACTGCAGACGGAGTACGTGTGAACTTGGCGCAACAAATCTAGTTCAACATCTGAGGCAACGCCACAAAGAGCTCTATGACCAATGCATGGCAAAAAAATCCCTGGAAACTGGATTTTTTCTTCTTCTGCCATATGTCTATTCTAGAGACATTTTGTTACACCTTTACTTAGTGATTATTTTGCCTTATGTCTGTTCTAGAGACATGTTACAGCTTTTTGATAAAGCTCTAATTGGTTTTCTTTTGGAAATATGTTTCAAATTCACACTGAATGCATTAATGACTGTAAAGCATGTTTGTGTGTGTCAAAACCGTGATTAAAATCGAAATCGCAAAATTGATCAAAGAAACCGCGATAGGTTTTTTTTGTCCATAATTCAGTTCAGTGGCCTCGTTTCGCTTCGACGGCTTTCAGCCTCACCCTGCTTCATACTACTACGTTAATAAATCATTAGCTCATCCATGAACATGATTTCTGCCCGAGTCCCGTCGGATTGCATCGGCTGTGGGGATGAAGACGACAACTCCCATGATTCCACACTCAGTCACGGCGTCATCAAACTACGCCTTTGTCTCTGTTTATTTTGAATATGCGCCCTCTAGTGGTGAAAATTACATATTGTGCCTTTAAGTGCGACTCGAGTCCAAGTCGCAGACTCCAGTTTCTATCTCTAGATATGATATTAAATGACTAACTTGCAAGACTAGTCCAAGCATTTTATGCAACTGGCCACTAAACTCAATTCTAAGTTGTTTCCAAGTTTTTTTTCTCAGAATTGAGTTTACGTCTCAATAGCAGTACTGTTTTTTTTTTTCTTACCCCATTTTAGTTATTTACTTGCATGTGGATTTCTTGTGGAAGTCTGCATAAAATCAATTTATGCTACTTCCTTTGTAAGCACACATTGCTAGTGGTTTGTGTAGGGTTATGTTTCAAAATTGTGGTTATTAGGGTTGTGGTTTAAAAATGGTTGGATTGTCTTTTGGGATTTGTTGTGTTTTGCCTTTTGGTTTGAATAAACATCAAGTGTCGTTTGTGAGGACCATTAGGACAAGATGGTGCCTTTTGTTTTAAATGCAGAGTGGACCTTAGTGACGATGAATGGGGGGGGGAGGGTGCTGTGAGGTGTAGATCACTGATGGTGGAACCAGCAGGGGTAGAGGCGAGAGAAATCCTTAAATCCTTTCTTGACTAGAACTTGTTTTGGTGTGGAAGGGTCCTCATTTGGAGCCTTTTTTTTTTCATTTTTTTTTTTCAATACTTTGGTTGGATGTCCAGGACAGCTGGACTCATTGTTCATATAGGAAATATGATCCACCGTCCTTAAAGTTGAGAATGCTTTGGTAATGTACTCTCTGTGACTCCCTGTGTCTGCTCATTCATTTTCCCAGGCCTGCGTTGCAATGGAAAACCACAGGGGTTTGCTAATAGAACAAATAACAGATATAATAAATTCCAAAGAGTTAATCTAACACCAGTGAATGATCTTGTAATACTAATGGTATTTAGTTTGAAAGTATTTTGTTACCCTAATGTTTTGCTTTCTTTTTTCCAGGAATGTGATTATTCCACTCCTACATTCTGTCTGGAGATACAATTGAACATTCAGTAGCATGCAAGCCGATTCACAACATTCAGGACAACTGCAAAATTTGCATGGAAAAGAAAGTACACCTGGAAATGGGACGAGGCAGAACTTTTACCAGATATGTTTACCACCTCACACTGCAAGTCCTTCATATTCTGGACAAACTGCCACTGGAAATTACTTCACCTGCACAATTCAACCAGCAACCAGTGACCAGATTTTGGCTAGTGGCGTTCAAGCTACCAAAGGCACAAAGCTTGCACAAGAAAATCAGCTTGACTCAAACCATACATTGCCGACAGGAAAACAGGATTCCCAAATGATTCTGTGGAACATGCCCTCTAATTACCAGATATTCCTACCTGTTAACAACGTAAATCTACAAGGTGCTCCCAACAATAATGGGCCAAACATGTCACATTGTGCCTTTAACTCAACTAACAGTTTATACATGCAACAGCAAACTACCTCCTCAGCAGTTGGCCCAAATAATTTGCAACCGTTTAAAACGATAGACACTCAAAGTCATAATGAAGCTAGAATAAATGTGAGCACAAGCAACTTGCATAGCAGGCAGCACTATGCAAATGCTCCTACTAATTTGCCAATAGACTCCTCAAAAACAAGGACAAGCTTGCCATCTGACCTAAATTATTGTCCTCCAACAGAAAATACACATCATGGCCAAAGTAGTTTGTTTGGTGGATACCTTTACCAGTTGTTGTTTGCTGAGAAATCAAATAATGCTAACGTGCAAATGCTTTCTACCTGTGCACAGAACCTGCAACCGAATAATGCTGCTCAGAGAGTTGTTGCCATTGTCCCGCCATTGTCTCCGATAGGAACAGCACCTGTTAATGTGTTAGACAAATCTGCTAATGTGAAAATGAATGTAAGCCCTGTGCAAGAGACTGTAGACCATCAACCAAATATTCCACATCCTCTGGTGACCAACGCTAATCTGATGAACCAAACGGGAGAACCAAATGACCTAACAAGCAAGCATCAGCGACCAAAGTCAGCAGAGCCAAGGCTGGATGATGGCCTTTGCAACGTAGTTGGAGCCGAGAGTCCAGTTTTGGCTAATGAATCGACTGACCAAAGTCTCTGTGCAAGTTCGCCGAACCTGAAATGTGTGGTCGCAGAACAAAACAAGTCTGTTCCAGCTCAAATGCAAAATGAACCGGCTGAAAAGACGAATAAAAACAGTACCGTCATGGACAAGAAAACAATTGACCCGGACACTGTTCCTTTTATTGAATGGCCATTAGATCGATTGCAGACCTTAATGGCCGTGATTCAGCAAATGGAAAATGGGGATCAGAAGAACATCCACAAAACTGATCCTGGGAAGGACATCTTAAAGCTTTACTGGAACGGGGATACTCGCAAGTTTTCTGAAGCTGTAGAAAGTGGCATATATCAAAGCATAATGGAAGAAGTTTATATTTACTCTCCGATGAACGAGCCTGTGATACTGAGGCAAATTGTAAATGATGCACGTAGCAAAGTCATCAAGGATTTTCACGTTTTAAAACACGACGAAGCACCACCGAAGATGACGTACACGTCGTCCTGGTTGAATCTTAATGAAAACGTTGATGACATCGACAAGGAATGTGGTTATTCTTGGTTCTATAAGTCTTTTCAAAATGTCCCCGAACACGAAGCACAAAACTTGGCATGTGAAGCACCAAGCAAATTGCAAGAAGCCACTGAAAAGCCATCATTGATTAGGACTAAACAATTACCATCAGAGGTGGAGAACAAAGTACCAGCAGACGAACCAACATCAAACAATGAGAGTCTACATGAAAACGTGCCCGTTTCATTTAATGGACAATCTCCACCTGTGACAAACATCAACTGCTCACCAAAGCATAATTGTCAGGTTACAGAACTAACCAACAGTCAGCCAATTATTACAAATTCTCTGGAGGCCATGGTGGATTTGGATGAACAAGGTGTCCCTACTGGAAAGTCAAGTTTGGATAACCAATTTGGAACCAAGAGTGTTGTGTCGCCCAAATCAAATAGCCAAAGTGACTATACAAACTCGCCAAAGCCCATTCATGTGGTTGCAGAACAACAGGAAATTGTGTTATCTTCTCAAATACAAGTTGGATCCAGTCAAAAAATGCTTAATGACTGTGCCGTTCTTGATAAGAACGTGAGATGTGAGACCACGCCAAAACTTAGTCAAGAACCTCCTGTGCACGTGAATGAAGTGGAGACTGACAAGATGGATGCTTCAGCCACTACGGTGAACGTTCTCCCTCATGACATGGCTAGACAGTGCTTTGCTAATGAGATGAAAGGACATAAAGTCATTGCTGCATTTCCAGACAAGCACGAGGCGCCTTTGTTGAACACACCCCAAGTACTTGACACAAAATCAACAGAAGAACCGATAAGCAGGCAGAAGCTAGAGGAGAAATATGCCACATATTCAGCATCCAGAGTTCTAGCATTGCTATCAGACCAGTATAAATCATCTTTAGCTGAACATAATCAGATTACAGACAAAGTACAACAAGAAGAACAAATCTCCACTGAGAAAAATATGTATGATGAGATTCGTGAGGAATCTCCTGTTCCCTTGATTGCTCAGTCTCCACCAGTGATTGATAACGTCTCTCCGAAGCTTAATGAACAACAACCAAATACTGTTAATCCACTGAAGGGTATGAGAAATCTGGTGAGGACACTGGAAAAACGAGATGTTTCATTAATAAAATATAAAAAATTAATTGAAAAACATGGTGGTTTGAAAAAGCATAAACAGTCATCTAGAACGTCAAAACTGCACAACAGTTTTGGTAATAGTGTTGGAGCCCAAAGTCCCATGTTGACTGATGAATCATCCAGCCAAAGTGACTGCACAATCGAAGCATTGACGCTTAGTCCTGTGGTTGAAAAACAGCAGTTTGTTCCATTAACCCAAGTGCAAAATGAATCCAGCGAAATGATGCTTAACAGTAAATTTGATAAGACCCTAAGATGTGAGACTGATCCAAAACCTTGTCAAGAGCTTTCCATACAAATCAATGATAAGTTTGTTGAGATGGATGCTTCATCTTCTGTTAAGCTTGATGTTCTCACTCCTGAAGTGGCTAAACAATGCTTTCCTGAAAATAGAGGCATTGCTCCAACATCAAAGAATGCAACATTAAGGCTGGATGACCCTCTTTGTAATCGAGCCAAAAGTCCAGTTTTGGCTGATGGATCAACCAGCCAAATTGACTATGCAAGTCCGCCAAAACTTTATCCAGTGCTCACAGGACCATCTCAAATGCGAAATGAATATAATGAAGAAATGCCTGAAATTGACCGTGTACTCTCAAATGACTCTGTGAGATGTGAGACTGACCCAAAACCCAGTCAAGAACTTTCTATGAACATGAATGAAGAGGAGTTTGTCGAGATGGATGCTTCAGCTTCTATTAAGATTAATGTTCTCCCTCATGAAGTGGCTATGCGATGCTTTGCTGATCAGATGATGGAAGATAAAGACATTGCTGCACGACCAGAGACGATGCACAAGGCCTGTTTGTTGAATTCACCCACAGACACTGTATCGACAAAAGAACAGATAAACATGTGGAGGTTTGAAGGGACTGATGGAGCTAAAAGTCCAGTGTTGACTGAAGGATCAATGAGCCAAAGTAATTGTGCAAGTCCACCAAAACTTGATTCTGTGATTGAAGAACCATCTCAAGTGCAAAATAAATCCAATAAAGAAATGCCGGAAATTGACTGTATGCTCACAGATGAGAGCGTGAGGTGCGAGACTGATCCAAAACCTACTCAAGAACTTCCTGTTAACATGAATGAAGAGGAGACTGAGAAGATTGACCGTTTAGACTCTATTAAGATCAATGTTCTCCCTCATGAAATGGCTGAGCTTTGGTTTGTTGGCGAGACAGAAAATAAGGACTTGCAGAAAGACACTACAGTTCATAATTCCACTGAGGACCAGGTGAAAGTTCAAGTTCTGGAACTCAAGTCTGAAAAAGAAGTGCTCCTAGAAGATGTGAAGCCAAAAGAGAGGAAATATCCAAGTTCTGGTGGTGAACAGTTGGCTTCTTACTGTTGTCTTGCTAAATGGTTTCAAACTTTAGAATATGGAAATGGCTCATTGTGCATGTGCCAGAAAAAAGCCGAGTTGAGAGAGGAGACTAAAACTGAGGCCCACAGCACAAGTTTAGAGGTGCAGGCTGAAAAAGACAGTCCAGGTGAATGCGAACGGGTGGAAATGGATGCTGCTGCCCTTGAAAGAACCGATGATTCTGAAGCCACAGATGATTCTGAAGCCACGGATGATTCTGAAGCCACTGATGATTCTGAAGCCACGGATGATTCTGAGGACAAGAGAGGAAATATCCAAGTTCTGGTGGTGAACAGTTGGCTTCTTACTGTTGTCTTGCTAAATGGTTTCAAACTTTAGAATATGGAAATGGCTCATTGTGCATGTGCCAGAAAAAAGCCGAGTTGAGAGAGGAGACTAAAACTGAGGCCCACAGCACAAGTTTAGAGGTGCAGGCTGAAAAAGACAGTCCAGGTGAATGCGAACGGGTGGAAATGGATGCTGCTGCCCTTGAAAGAACCGATGATTCTGAAGCCACAGATGATTCTGAAGCCACAGATGATTCTGAAGCCACGGATGATTCTGAAGCCACTGATGATTCTGAAGCCACGTATGATTCTGAGGATGAAAACCCATTGCTGCATGATCCTACTACGCACAAGACCAAGATTGCGAAGGACATATCAAGTTCTGAAGAGGTCTCTAAGGCAGAGACTGAAACTTCAGAGCAGAAAAGAAATGAATCGCCCACAAAATGTGCAACAAACATGACTCCTATGAATGAGATTGAGCAAGACACCCCAGCTCCTGATTTGAAGACTAAAACAGTATGGCTTGCACTGTATGGGTCGTCTTCTGAAAAAGGAAACCAACTAAAGCGAACTAAAAGGTACAAAGAGAAATCAAGTTGCGAAGAACCCCCAAAAACTCTTCAAGTAACTGTAAGCTCTCACCAGAAGGTTAAAAACAACAGTGAGTCAAAGAAGCGCAAATGTGTGGAATCAGAAGATGAAGATGCTACTGACAGGAGAGAGCAAAAACGAAGAGTATCCTTGCAAAATCTGGTTCAGCGTACATCCTTGCCCTCGCATCCTGTTTCTGGACTCAGCAAAAATAGACTTTCATCTACCTCAGTCAGAAAACTGCTCAGTCAAAGTGCTAATGAGAAGAGTGACGTCCATTTGGCTGAAGGAAATAATCGAAAGAGACCACATAAGCATACAACGCAACAAATGTCAATGAATAAATATATCATTAGAGGGAAGACTGTGCCATCCAAATTATTGCATTCACCCGAGAACGTGAAGAAAAGTAAATATGAGTTGGGGAACCCTGCTTTGATGCCATTGGATGAGGGTCCTGCTTTGGAGTTCAAAGTATTGCCAGAGACTTTTAACTTTGAAGATGGAGCTCAAGCCGACACATCATGGAGTATGCAAAATGGTGACTTCTGAAAATATATACTATTATTATTATTATTTACGCTGTACCTAATGTATACTTATAAATTCCTGTTCCTTTTTCTTAAGAGATGTCAGGCCCAGAAGAAAAAGCCAAAAGGATGAAAACTAGCCATGTGCCAACCCAAGGTATTGGAGAGAAGATTCATGTTGTTAATTTGAAATGTAACATTTTTATTAGCCTCTTATAAAGTAAAGGTGCAATTCACCACTTTTGAATAATGATTAATGAACTGAATCACATAACATTGTCTGGCAGGTAGTTTACCACTCCTCTAAATGGCTTTGTGCTTGTCTATCTGCAGGTGTCTGGAGTTTCAGTCCCTTGAAGAAAAAGTGCACTCAACCCATCCAGGACACTGACGTCTCAGATTCATGTAGCCTCTTCCAAGAGTTCAGAAAGAAATATCAAGAAAAGAAGGGCATTGCCTCCAAGCAGAACTTGAATTCCAGTGAAAGAGCTTGATTTTTTTTTTTTTTTTTTCTATTAAAATGAAAGCAAATGGGCTTATTTTGTCATGTGTTTACTTCCTTGTGAATGATAAACCTAAACGGATACAAACTGCGAGTGTTCAAATACATTTTTACTGTTTACTTGAACTTGACTATTTGTATTATATTATAAATGCATCATTTGCACACTGGTCATCCAGATCAACAGCTGCTAGTCATCCAGTATTTGTGTACCAGTTTTATACATTAACTGCATTTCCAAGAAATATGTTTGTCATGAAAGTGTATTTTTTTTATATTATTCTGTATATTGTAGTGTTTTTATTTGGATTCCACTGGTTTGTAAAAATTTGACAATCTATTTTTGTACGATTAAGACCTTTTGAAAAGAAGGGCATTGCCTCCAAGCAGAACTTGAATTCCAGTGAAAGAGCTTGATTTTTTTTTTTTTTTTCTATTAAAATGAAAGCAAATGGGCTTATTTTGTCATGTGTTTACTTCCTTGTGAATGATAAACCTAAACGGATACAAACTGCGAGTGTTCAAATACATTTTTACTGTTTACTTGAACTTGACTATTTGTATTATATTATAAATGCATCATTTGCACACTGGTCATCCAGATCAACAGCTGCTAGTCATCCAGTATTTGTGTACCAGTTTTATACATTAACTGCATTTCCAAGAAATATGTTTGTCATGAAAGTGTTTTTTTTTTAATTATTATTCTGTATATTGTAGTGTTTTTATTTGGATTCCACTGGTTTGTAAAAATTTGACAATCTATTTTTGTACGATTTTATAAGACCTTTTTTTTTTAATAAAAACATTTGGTTTCAAATATATTTAATTTTGCTCCTGGTTTTTAAGCTCTGCTAAACCGTGATTCACCGAGGTCAGTGATAAAACAAGTGAACTATATTTTAATAGTAGCAATTTCAGAGAACACAAGTAAACTTGTGAGAAGATTTGTATAATAAAACATTTCAAGAAACGCCTTTGGTAATAGGCTAGATAGATTCCCAGACGCAGACAATATTATAACCTACCTAGTAAACGTAATAATAATAAAATATTTATTTTGAGGCTGTGGCGTTTTTATACATCTTTTCTAGATCGCCTTTAAACAGTGCAAAAACGTTAAATATTAAACATTCACAGACATTAACGCAAAACAGTACGTGTTAATGTAAAAAGAATGCATAAAAATATAAATTCCTCGAACGCTTGTTTGTCGCTTATGAATGACGTAACACTATAAATGCGACCCGCCCACTATGATACTCGCGAGGGAGAGAAAACAAAACAATGTGACAACGAAGAAGCCAGGTAGAAAGTTAACGATGTGATTAAATTAGAAAGCATAATGAACGTATATTACATATGATATCTTCGCAGTTAGTCATATAAAGGTGTATAAACAGCACTGAAAACGACCAAATCATGGCTACCATAGATTCTCTTATGAGTTTGTGAGTAACATCATTTTTTATTTATTGAGTGTTTAACGCTATTGACAGTATTAATTCTGTTCATTTAATATCATGAATTCAGATCTTTGAGTGTTTTCTCCGCACGCAGGTGCGCTTTTAGCGTTGCTCAGCGCGCTGAGAGGTATGAGGAGATCAGGATGTTGCCTGCTGCCGTTAAAGACAGATTATTGCGAATAATGATGTCTTACGGCACGGTCACCGACTCCAACATCAGCCAGGTAATGCGTCCCCATCACAAGAGCATTTGTGATGATAATATATTGCGCTCATCATCACGTGTGTGATTTGTGTTTCAGCTCGTGCACAACGGAACTCACACACTGGATCTGCAGAACTGCAAGGTGTCAGACTCTGCGCTTCAACAAATCCACTGCCTACAGCTGAGGACAATACTGTTAAGAGGCTGTGCAGATATCACCTCTGAGGGTATCATTTTCACAAATCAGTGCTGTTTATGGCTGTTTATGGGGGTTCATTTGTGATATGCACTAGTCATTATTTGGTAAATTAACTAATGTTGTTATTGTTAACTAAAACTATTAAAAATGTTTTCGGGTATTTAAAATAAAGCTGAAACAAAATATAAATAACAATATATATATATAAACATTAAAAATATCAATGCATACTATATTAGAATTTAAATAGTACTAAAATAACACTGAAATTAACTAAAGAATCAACAGTCACTTATTAATAAATTAATTTAGAAATGTATAAATTGGTATATATGGGGTAAATAATAACAGTGTCCCCATGGTTAAACCTGAAAATATTACGGGATTAATTATAAATATTATTAATTGTTAATAATAATTAGTGCTGCCAAACGATTAATCGCATCCAAAATAAAAGTTTTTGTTTACATATGTATGTGTACTGCGTATATTTATTATGTATATATAAATACACACACATACAGTAAATATTTTGAAAATATTTATATGTATTTACATGCATGTATTTATATTCCTATATTTTATATAAATATATTTAACATATAAACATAACATTAATATATACATGCATGTGTTTGTATTTATATATATATACACATAATAAATATACACAGTATACACACATATATTATGTAAACAAAAACTTTTGTTTTGGATGCGATTAATCGTGATTAATCGTTTGACAACACTAATAATAATAATGAAGCTTTATTAATCATAATCAACTAGAAAACGTCACTAATAATAGGATATAAATCTATCTAGAGCTAAATACATGTATATTTAGTATTTTAATAACTACAATAACTAAAAAAATAGATTTTAATTGCATTAAATTGATCAAAAATGACAAAAATATTAAGCAGCACAACTGTCAGCATTCATAATAATGTTTAAATGTTTACCAAATCAGCATATTAGATTGATTTCTGAAGGATCACGTGACAGAATACCGGAGTAATGATGCTGAAAATCAGTTTTGCATCACAGGAATAAATTACAATTCAAAGTATAATGAAACTGAACACAGTCATTTAAAATAGTAATTATATTCCACAGTATTGCTGTTTTACTGTATTTTTGACCAAATAAATGAAGTCTTGTTCAACATAAGAGACTTTCTGACCTTTATATACTGAAATGAAATTGCACTTATTAATTGACTAATAACTCCGAAAGCAAATGTCAGGTCCTCTTTATTATCGATCTTGGAAAGTAACACCCAAACTGTAAATTGAAATCTGATTGCACTATTGCTCAAATGAAATTGTTCAAGACATCAACCTTTGCTGTATTTCTCTTACCCTCAGGTCTAGAGGTGCTGGCATCCCGGTGCCCTTATCTTCAGGTCGTTGATCTGACGGGCTGCACGGCTGTGACAGACTCAGGGGTTCAGGCTCTGGCGCGACACTGCAAATGTTTGGAAGTGATTTCCCTGCGTGGCTGCGCTGCTCTCAGTGACAGAGCCCTGCTGGAGCTGGGAGAGAACTGCAGGGTGCTGCACAGCATTTACTTCTCTGGGACAGAGGTCATTTACACCGTTGTTGGGCATTCAGACTTTTTGGACACTACCCAGTCAAACGTCTGGAATAATTCGGATTTTTAAAATGTTTAAAAAAAAAAAAAAACTCTCTCCAAATCAGCATATTAGAATGATTTCTGAAGGATCATGTGACACTGAAAACTGGAGTAATGATACTGAAAATTCAGCTTTGCATCACAGGAATAAATTACATTTTAAAGTATGTTCAAATATAAATCAGTTATTTTAAATTGTAATAATATTTTTCAATATTACTGTTTTTATTGTATTTTTGATCAAATAAATGCCACCTTGATGAGCATTAGAGTGTTATTTCAAAAACATTAAAAATCTTAATTATTCCAAATTTGTGACTGGTAGTGTATATACCAAAATCATCGTGCTGCTCTAAATCCTTTCAAACATTTTGTACACACTTGACCAAATACTTAACTACTTGTACATTCACACTATTTATAGGTAACTGATCAAGGGGTCATTGGACTTGCAACTGGAGTTTGTTCACACTGCTTAAAGGTATTGCATACAGATTTTACATTTTTCATTAAGACCATTTTAATATTGTATTATTATTATTTGTTATAAATTCTTTACTGTTTCAGGAGTTACAGATGATACGATGTCGCAATTTGACGGATGTGGCTGTGACTACTGTTCTTGCAAACTGCGCCAACATCAGAATTTTCAATTTCCATGGATGCCCCCTGATTACAGGTAGTCACATGGTCACTGACATCAAATGCAACACATATTTTGTTGTCCAGAAATGATGTTTCAGTGCATCTATGTGTCTCTTTTAGATAAATCAAGGGAGGCGCTGCAAAACTTTATTGGTCCCAACAAGATCCAACAAGTGTCTTGGACTGTGTACTGATGTGACGGTACATCAACTACAGCACATCAACTTTATTGTCATAAATGTAATACGCTCAAAGAAGATATGCATAATCCTTGTCAAATTTATTAAACAAATTGTCAATGTTTGATGGAAAAAATGATAAAAATCAATGAATTTCTTACAGCATTTACAGCGTTTGCATTGTAATTTAATTGCATTGTAATGTTATTTAATATTCAAGAATGTTTATGTAAAATTGTTTTGTTTACCTACCTTTCATTTTCAACATTTCAACTGTACTATAATACATATTAAATAAAAATGTATGTATGAAATAGCAGTAATCTGCTCTAGTATATGTTCCATTGAACATGTTTGCTTACAGTAAACAGCATCAATTATATATAGATTATATAAAATACATATTTGCGTTTTCTTGAATAATGTTTTATTGACATCCATACTATACTTACACATGATAAACAGCATCAATTATATATATATATATAGATAGATAGATGATATAAAATACATATTTGCATTTTCTTGAATAATGTTTTATTGACATCCATACTATACTTACACATGAATGCTTTAGCTGTTATAGATCAGGTTTGTAGTTATAGCACCACACTGTGCTATTTGTTAGTCTGTAGTTCTCCTCTTTGACCGAGTCGGGCAGCTCAAAGTGAGCCAGTTTATATAATAATCTTCTGATGTCATGGCTTTCAAATTGAGCCCGTCCCGGGTCACCAATAAGCACTTGTGCTCCGTGTGTGGTTATGCATGTCTGGAGACACTTATGCAGACGATCAGCCAGATCTTCATCATAGAACATGTCTCTGAGAAGAATGAGGTCCCAGGCATCAGGTTTTGAGCCGATCATGTTGTCTGTCACACAGGGTCCAGATTGTTCAGTTCAAAGTTCATTTTTGTGGCAATGGCAGCAACTGTAATAACAAAAC